GATCTTTGAAATTTTCTGTTCAGCTCTTGGACCTCCTCATTTCTTCCATTTGCTTTAGCATCTCTATGCTGGAGAGCAAGTTTCAGTGTCTCTTCTTACATACATTTTGACTTTTTCCTTCTTTCTTGTCTTCTCAATGTATCAAATCTGTTCTTCAGATGATCTCTAAATTCAGGTGGGATATATTCAAGGTCTTATTTTGGCTCTCGTGTCCAGTAGTCATTTAAAATTTCAAATTAAGGAGTACAACACCAAGCAGAAACAGTTGTAACAATCTTGAGATAACACTTTATATTTACCAAATTGGGTATAATAAAAAAAAGAAATAACAACAAGTACTTATAAAGATGTAGAAAAACTGCAGTCCTCATATATGCTGCTGGTGGTGGTGGTTATGTGCCACAGAATCAGTTCCGACTCATAATGACCCTGTACAGGGTTTCTGAGGCTGTAAATCTTTATGGGAGCAGAAAGCCTCATCTTTCTCCCGTAGAACATCTGGTAGTTTCGAACTGCTGATCCTGAGGTTAGCAGCCTGACGACTACACTACCAGTAGGAATTTAAAACACAGAGTTATCATATAACTCCATAACTGCAATGTAGGTATACACACAAGACAAATGTAAACATATATCCACACAAAAACCTGTACACAATGTTCGCAGCAGCATTATTTATAATGTTCATCACAAAAACAATCTAAATGTTCATAAACTGATGAATGGATAAAATAAAGTACATCCATAAAAAAGAATATTACTGAGCAATGAAAACATGATACATGCCACCACATGGATGAACCCTGAGAACATTATGCTAAGAAAAAAGAAGCAATCATAAAAGAAAGTCACACATTATATAATTCCAATAATATAAAATATCCAGAATAGAGAAATCTACAGAGACAGAAAATAGTTGCTCTGAGGTGGTGTTTGGAGAGAAATGGGTAATAACTGCTGACATGCACTGAGTTTATTTCTGGATTGAAAATGCTGATTTTGGTGACAGTAGCACAGCTCTGTAAATATAGGAAAAGTTACTAAATTGTACTTTAAACGGACAATTACCTGTTAAATAGTTACAATAAAGCTACTATACTTTTTTAAAAAGGTGTAATGATTATTCAGTAGAAAGAGTAAAAGAAGATAAATTAGTTACCTGAGATTTTCTGAATGCTTCTTAAAAATACAAAATCTTTTACTTGGACGGTTACTATGAAAGCTGTAGAGACAAAAAAAATTCTATTAATTTTATTATATGGTACATCTCATTTGTTTTATGACCATATTTCAAGTCTATGCAGATGTTTTTCAGTTTTAAATAAAGATTAGGATTTGAATAACAAAATTTTGTTTATTTCTCTAGGCGTATTCATGATCAATAACCTCATGGTAATATTAATACACTTAAGAGTTAAAATGTAAAAAAAAAATAAAACTCTTTAACTATTAGAGTAGAAAACTATTTGTTTTGCTAGTAAAATTTTTTGCTATAATACAGTTACCAAGAGTAATTATTATGATGTGTCACTTTCCAATCTTAAAGTGCTTGTGTGGGGAAGGGAGTAGAATATAAATAATCTTGAGCTAAACACTACTTGAGCTGTTTACCATCTGTAAAATTAGATTTAGAGAATTATTTGCAATTACTAGAAGAGGTTTTTAAAAAGTAAAGCAGTACAGGAAAAATACAAAACAATAAGGGCAGTCCGACTATTACCACAAGAACATGCAGGTTGCTTGCCCAGGAGGCATCAAGGCAAGTGATCGGGTCCTGTCAGTGCAAATCCTCTTCCAAGACTAAGACGCCAGGGAAATATACGCTTTGTTCAACGACCACGCACGTCACCCACAAGGGGAAGTGACCGAAGAACATCAATGAAGCGGTGAGCTAAGCCCTACATCGTTCAGCAGACTAGCAGACTACTGTGAACCCAGGTGGATACCTGGTCGGCCAGCAGCGAGGCAAGACCTGGGGACTCATGGGCACAGAGTCAATGACACAGTCACAGAGGACTAGAATGGAGAGCAGGGTGGCCAGCGGATAAAAAGAGGGTGGACAGACTCAAGAACACCCACACTTGCAGATGATACCCAGTTGACCTGGCTTCAATGACTGGATGAACAGAGCTCAACCCGAAGAAGAAAAAAGAGGAAAAAAGTGTCATCTGATACAATTCGATAAACATGACCTACACCTATAAATGCAGTAGCTCAAAAGAGGAAACAAATCCCTGCTGCAAGAACTATTCCCACCCTCTCCACACAAAGGGTAGACAGGGATGGGCAACTTGGACCTTGGCTACCCAAAATGGGGGGAGGGATACAAAGGTAAGAAATGATTGGCCTACAAGCTTTCAAGAGGGAACCTAGATACAAAGGACGTGGAGGAAGGTTGAGTCTCCAGTGAATAGTATCCAGCCTGTCCAGGAAGGACTGATGAAATGAAATACAGATGGGTCTCTTGTGATACAATAGTGAATAATTGTTATCATGACTGATTGTGAGGGCTGGAAATCTAAAGGTGTACATTTTGTAGCAAGGAGGGGAATGATTAACTTTCTAGTCTAGGAGCGGAGAACCCTGGGACCATCAATGGAGAAGAGCAGAGAGCAGCATCCTACCCAGAGAAGTGGTGAGGCCTGAGATCGAGGCAGAGAAGATGACGTGAAGAGGTGGAGTGGCTGGGGACTTG